TAAATCCGAGCCACTGCCACCCCCACTGCTGCCGGGTGCCACTGATCTTATGTTACCATATTTAATTTGCAACATTTAAACTTTGCATAAAATATTTGCTGAGGGAGCTGCAAATTTTAGATCCAGCTGTTTATCAGCATTAGGAGCAGTACAGAAAAATAATCAAGACAAAATGAGACCCAAATTAGTAAATGTCCAGCATACAGCTGGATGCAAAAAAGTGTCATCTGGATAGAAGTCCACACCAGTGCTTAGTACTGCTTTATATTGGCCATATAGGCACAGAGTTGGACACTGGGAGCTGCGCTGTCCTCTATGACATTAATGTAAATAGAAGTGATTTACCCTGGATTTATAGCAACACACAGCTAGCAGCAGGTGATCCCTACCTTTTTTTTTTTTTATGTAAGGGGATGGGAGAAATAAGGTAGGGTGTGTGTGAATTTGAGTGCAGAGAATTCTTCAGCTAACAAATTATTTTTTTCAATAATCCTACAATTTTTGGCATATGGAAATCCAAGTGAAATCCCTTGAAACTCTTCTTTCCTATAATATTATATTAATGTTTGAAGAACTGATGAAAAATAACCTAATCCAGTTCAAAACAGTTAAGATGTGTCATAACTCCCTTGATAATTTCCTTATGATCTTCGCTATAAAAAAGGAAATGCCCAAATTGGATTATAATTTAAATAAGAGAGTTGGGGCATGCAGCCTGATGGGCCGGGGTGGGGGGAAGGGGGACCAGTGTTACCCCTGTGGTGTGCAGCCCACACTGGTGTGGTCCATGTTATAATGAGGTTGGACACCCCGGTGTTAAAGGTGTATTATCTTCTTTCAGGGTGTGTAGCTTTTTTTTGTTTTTTTTAAAAGAGAATCAACCTTCAAAAAAAGAGTTAAAATTTTGCAGCACTACAAAAATCATATCTGTAGTAAGCCAGATCAACCTAAGTATGAACATTAAAAAACATTCAAAAAGGGATACGGTTGTTGTTTTCTGTGGCAGGGTACATTATACACCAGTAGCATTCAACCTAATCTATAGACCAGTGGTGTTCAAACTTGTTGCCCAGCAGGCCAGATGAGCTGTGCCTGGTCTGACCACAGGTCGGATAGTGGTTTTGATCCAATGCCTGGGACCAGTATGGCAGCCATCATCTGGCCATTGGGCAGGGAGTGGGGCAGGAGCAGCCCAGCCCTGCACTAGGAAAAGGGAGCTTCACCACGCTGCCCTGTGGAGGGGGAGGCAGGACATGACCCGGCTCCATGCAGGGGGGTAGAGGGAGTGACCCAGCCCCAACCCAGCTGCCCAGGAAAAAAGGGGCATGGCCCAGCTCCAACCTGGCCCCCATGGAAAAGGGAGCATGGCCAAACCTTGTGGCGGGGTGGGAACAGGGCATGGCCCAGCCGCAGGGAAGAAAAGAGGATGTGGCCCAGCCCTGCAGGGAAAAGGGGTATAGCCCAACTATAAAAAAGGAAACACCCAAATTGGATTATAATTTAAATAAGAGAGTTGGGGCATGCACCCTGATGGGCCGGGGGCATAGCCCAGCCTCAACCTGGCCTTGCAAGGGGAAGGGGGCACACCCTGGCTCCAACCAAGCACATGGGGCTTGGGGTTGGGGAATTTGGTGGAGGGAGGGTAACCATATTAATGGCCACCACTCTCCTGCCAGCAAATTTCCTGACCCACAGGCCAGATGCAGTGGCTCAAGAGTTTGAGCCATTTTTTGAGCAT